CATATGGAGCAAAAGGAAATGTCTTTATCATACTGCAGCTTTACCAATCAAATGAATTTGTCGAATGCTGTTTCGTTCTTATTCTATAACTTTGTAGATCACAAATGTGCGTATACACTATGTTGATGTTACTGGTTGACTTAATCACTGGAATCTTTAGTTTTTTGTACTCTGCATTGAGAATATACTTTTATGCTGCATTTGACAGTTGAGAAATGACGCTCCAAATTTTCTTCTCGTTATTAGAGGGTTAGCCAGCAAAGCTACTCAGTATGATAAGATGGACAATTATGGATAGAATAAATATTTTTATTCTTTATTTTGTTCAAGAAGTTTGTTCATTTTGTTTTTCAATTGTTGTTGAAAATCATTAACTCAGAAAATCACCTTTTAAGGCGTTTTTGCTGAGGTGCTCAGCATAAGTCTTATGTTGCTCCTATTTATGTTTGTCTTATTCCCAGACCATGAGGAGAAGGCAACTTATGTCAAATTCCTTCTGTCAAATGCTGAAGCTGGTTCAATTATTGGAAAAGGTGGTTCAACAATCACTGAGTTTCAGTCTCGTTCTGGGGCTAGAATTCAGTTGTCGCGCAACTATGAAGTTTTCCCTGGAACACCAGATAGAATTGTAATGGTATCTGGGTTTCTTGATGACATACTCAAGGCAGTCGATCTTATTCTTGGTAAATTGATGGATGAGGTAATCTCATGTTGAAATCCTGTTCCTATACTTCTCTTGATATTTAAATTGAAGCACTATCTTCTTCCAAATCAGTTTTATGCTGAAGATGGTGGCGATGTGGATCCACGCTCAAAATTTAGATTAGTTGTGCCCAACAGCTCTTGTGGTGGAATAATTGGGAAAGGAGGAGCCACAATAAAGTATGAGTTCTACTCACTATATGTTTCTTTTCCTACATTAGGTTTGCAAGTTCCACTCATTCTAACATATGAGACAATCAACCAAGCAAATGACCTGCAATTTGAGTATTGTAACATTGACTTGCTTATCTTGCGTAATGAATCTGAATATTCTTCTGCTCTTGGTTATAAAGTTCTGGCAGATGTACGTTGAAATGGTATATCCCTGTGCTGGAATGATTCGTTTGACTTCATTATGACAAGTTAGATGGTCGTGATTTGTCTCTTGAGTTTTTGGTCTGTAAAATGATCAAAATGTGCTGTTCATGCAATCTCTGGATACCAGTTTGTAACCCCTTCCAACTGAAATATATGTATGCCATCAGAAACTTTGGTTCGATGCTTCTTGTTGATTTGACTAAGTTCCTTGTCCAACCTGAATGTTTAGCTTATTTTCTTTATAACTGGTGCATGACTCTCTAGGTTAACGTCTTGTTACCTCTTCCATGACCAAAGTTGTCCTCAATGTGTAACAAAGGAAAGTGATGTTATAAAGTTGTCTGCCAATATTTACCAGGTTCCATTTCTATTGATTTCATCGTCCTAAACAATTCGATGAAGTTCAGGATTTTAGGGTGCTGACCGGAGTTAGACCATGCCTAGGCACTGAATGCTATGTTATAGTTGATTCTCTTCTTATATTAAGCTAAAGGTGGGGGTTTGCATTCTATATATACATAGGGGTTGTTAGGTAGGAGGTATTAGAGAAAACAATACATATATTAGCTTTGTCATTAATTAATCTCTTTGGTAGTGTTTTCAACCAATGTATAACTAATACGCACCCTATTCAGCACTATTTTTATATGTAGTAAACCATCACATTAACAATAAGGTGTTCCTATAAGGAAACATACTATTTAGTACTATTCCTATTATAATACTCCCTATTCAATTAATACAACAAATCAATCCGTCAATAAAAAATAATACTAACATGACTAATCTCAACATGACTTTTTTTTGGGCTAATACACCCTATTCAATAAATTAATCTCATGATTACTAATCCAAGCATTACTAATGCACCTTATTTAATATTATTCTTATACACCGTACCAGATGACCCCGTGGTGTTGACTGATGAGAATGCTCTTGTTGAGTACTACAAATTCAATTTTTTGTAGCAAAAATTCAAATTTGACTGAAATAATTGTTTTTTGTCTGAATTAAACTGAAATAATTGTTCTGTATGGGAATTACCAAAAATGTGTTAATAGTCAAAAATTTTGTACTCTTCCATATGGTTATTTGGTTGACAATAATGACTTTTGCATTATCAAGATTGCAACTGAATTTACATCTCTATGTCCGGCAAATACTCTGTTCTCCTGTTATCCATTAATTTTTGAAATGAAATGTTGAACCATTAAGCTTTAGTTATTTTTTTTGTGGAAGCAACTCCTATGTATCAGTAATAACTAATAACCCAACAGTATTTGGCTGGGTTGAAACTTAAAAACAGAAGAGACAATTTATATAACTTTTTTCAAGGGTAAATTCCTGCTTTCTAACTCATTGATACCGTTGGCAGTATTTTAGTGATAACTCATAATCAATGTTTGCTGTTTCAGCAGGATATTATCTGGTTTGCGAAGGCATGTATTATTTGGTTCCTTTTCTTCATCCTTTGGCAGGAAAGAACTCTAAATGTAAAAAAACAATTCATTGCCATTCCCAAAAATTTATTAGTGAGTAGAAACCCAAAAAAATTGTTCTCGAAACAGGCAGTGACCTCATCATGAGATTCTTTTTTTTTCTAGACGAAGTACTCTACATTCATTTCTTATCCTCTTTGTTTTCCAACTTTTTTTTGCCTTCCTCCATTTCCTTTTTTCTACATTTTTCTTCATCTTTTTGTACACCCAAATTAATTATAGAAGGGAATTTTTGAAAAATAATTTTCATGCAGAATGAGATGGTTGGATATATATATATATATATATATATATAATTTTAGTTTTATGGTTGAAGAAATATAGTATTGACTATAATGTTCTTGTTCAGGTCATTTATTGAAGATTCTCGGGCTGGCATAAAAATATCTCCACAGGATTACAACTTCCCTGGACTGCATGATAGGATAGTTACAGTGACTGGTACACTAGAAGAGCAGATGCGGGCAATTGAATTGATTTTATTCAAGTTAGCTGACGACCCGTATTACATGCAGTCCATGAATGCACCATTCCAGTATGCTGGTATGAATCAAATATACTAATTTGTAGTACCTGCTTTAACTGAATTAGCTCAGGATGGATAAGACCTGCTCCTCTGTCTTAATTTTTGTTTGTGCTCGTGCAAATGCTGAGTATAGCTTCCTAGAGATCTCAGTCTAAAATATACAAACTAGAGAATTGATGTATGAAGAGGCAACAGTATCTGTTTCTTGGCCGCGCTGCTTTCTAATATTGATAATCCAGTCTCTCTTGTAATGTCGTATGCAGCCATCAAGACTCACAGAGTACATTTTAGGAATTGTTGTAGTAGTTGACATGGTGGAGCATTATATAGACTGATTGGATGTGATATAATTTTGAGTCGGAACAACCCTGCTATTGCTTTCAGAATATTTGGTCTAAGCAGCTACACGAATGAAGTATCTGAAAGTTGAAATGTTCTGTTTTCGGCCCTTATTCCGAGTCATACTCTCATCTGATTTGAATTTTATTCTACTACCTCTAATTTGCTCAGCTGTATATGTCGGAATGAACTATGGATATGGACCACCAAACAGAGTTGGAGGAAGATATCCGAATAACCGACAGCAGAACAAGGTTCATTCTCTTCTTACTACGGACAATACTTTATCTTCATCCCAAAAGTAAAAATAAAATAAAATATATCTTGGCATCCCTAATGCTTGTGACCTATGCTAGCAACCCTGCTTTTACCCCCAAACAACCAATTCTTTACTTCCTGCCTGGCTTGAAGTTTTTAACTATACAGTCTTATCCTGTTTCTAGATGCGGTTCTGCTTTATCTTTTTTGATTTTGCTTCTGTCATGATCCTATTCTTCTTTACTCAGGTGGCACCACTGGAAGTCAGGGACAATTCGATGACTATTGGTGTTGCAGATGAGCATGTTGGACTAGTCCTTGGCCGTAATGGGAGGAGCATAATAGAGATCAGTCAGGTGTGTGAAGAAGTTACAATTCTCCCTGGTTTTTTATATGTACTTAGTCTTTGCTTTTATTGCAGCTTAGTGGTGCCAGAATAAAGATATCAGATAGGGGTGATTTCTTGTCTGGTACTTCCGACAGGTATACCGTCCTGGCATTGTTATTTCACTTGTCAGGTTGAACTACAAAAACACAGATTGCATTTATGAAGCTCTTGTGGCGTTTTACAGGAAGGTAACTATAACTGGATCACAAAGAGCAATCCGCACTGCAGAGTCCATGATATCTCGGAAAGTAGCTACTATTTCTGTGAGGTGATCCAAACTTGTATTTCTCACTTTTCTTTTTTGACGTTTTCTTAATGGATTCCGAATTTCATATACATATGGTGATATTGGATCTGTGTTGACATTTCTAGAGAATGAATTTGTGAAATGCTGATATCCATGGCTGGAGAACACATTCCATCTGAGAAGGGGCAGCATATCTTAAGTACATTTAAGGAATATTTCGAAGCAAAGCTATAGTTTTCGCAATTGATTCAGTTGACTGAATATATACCGTTCTATACAGTCGTAATTATTCAATAGCTAACACTCAGTTGACAACTTTGAAGTTCTCTTATGGTCTGTTACATACAAAATATTTATTCCTTCCTTACTGAAAGAGCTTATACGGTACGATGAGATGATTCATCTTAGTCTTAGTATGTCAGGTACGTCCTTGGCCAAGCTCAGGGATTGACAAATCTATAGGGCGAGCTATGGACTCATACTACTACTTGGTAAGTTACTAGTATATCATATATTAAAAATTTGATTACATACACAAACAAAGCAAAGTTTACCACCACATGAATAAAGGTGGTTAAACCATGCAATTTATTCCATATCATATAAATAATACAAACACCAAATATATCGAATTTATGTATACATGGACTTCATTTCAATAGTTCAAGGTTCATCACCTCCATTTCCTCCACCATATCCTGATCCATAACCTGAGCCACTACCATACCCTGAACCATTGCCATTTCCTCCACCGCCGCCTCCACCACCACCACCTCCACCACCACCGCCTCCGCCACCTCCTCCTGATCTTCCACCACCACTTCCATACCCGGAGCCACTTCCACTTCCATAACCCGAACCATATCCTGAACCATTATTTCCATTGCCGCCACCACCACCACCACCTCCACCATGACCACCACCCCCTCCGCCACCTCCACCCTTACCTACTCCTTCACCTGACCCGTACCCTGATCCATATCCTGACCCATATCCAGAACCACTCCCCCTCCCTGAATTTCCTCCTCCTCCACCACCTCCACTACCACCTCCTCCTCCACCTCCTCCGCCTCGTCCAAACACTCCATCACCCCCACCATATCCTGAGCCTTCCCCGGAACCATACCCCGAACCATATCCTGAACCCGACCAACCTAACCCTCCACCACCACCACCACCACCACCTCTTCCTCCACCTCCTCCACCACCACCGTTTACCGTCTTACCTAATCTTGCACAAAAGGCAAGATCAACAAAGAGTAAAATCAACAATGCAGCTGCTATAAGCTTGGAATGAGCCATGCGATAGTTATGTATTAACTTCCTTATTATCTCTATGCAATTTTTTTTAATATGAAATTTGTTAAGTAGCAGTGTAGCACTTAGCTTTAGGAGAAAATGAAATGAAATGCTAAGTATGGAAGTGAGGAACGTGGTTATTTAGGAGTATCCTATTTATAGAATTTGCATGGCTTTCTAGTAGCTTCTGAAGTAATCCCTCCGTCCATCTTTACTCAGTTATACTTTATTCGTCCGATTTTAAAAATCAAGACATAATTTATCATTTTGTGTTTATTTTACGTTTAATGTTAACTATAACTATTATCCAAAGCAATGGAATTATTATATTCAAATTGGTGATTTAGTATAATTATCCTTTTATTTATTACTTCGTAAGAGATATATCATATGTTTAAGTGAACAAGTAAAAATATACGGAAAGAGTAATATTATAATGGAAGACTGAAGAAAAATATGAGCGTGTTGACTTGGGATATTATAGTGGTGTTGGTGATGATAGAATATATTATCAAGATCAACTTATCATGCAAAATCATCCCATTATCAAAAGTACAGTTTGCTCCCACTTTTGACTTAGAGGGTCTTAAAATGAGTTCAAATTTTATATAAAATATGAGATTTATAATGCTGAAAATATATTAGACAAATTACATCCCATGATAGGTACATAGGTGATCTGACCAAGTAATTATAAATATTCTTACATTAAATATGTATATAACTTAAATTCTAATATAATTATTAGTAGTAAATTTTAATGATAAGCATTTACTTAAAATATAATTGCAAAGATAAGTAGTGACTAATAACATGCTATGTTAAAATTTATGAATAGTATAAAAAGTTATTTTCCCTATCTCAATTTACGTAGCGCTTAGTCTGTCTAAAAAAGAATTCCATTTTTATTTCAAATAATATGATTTACAACCACATACTAATATAAATTACCAATAAGAGTTTTGATCAATAAATTTCAAAGAGTTCCTTTTTAACTGTGTCAAAATAAATAATATCGCGTAAATTGAGATTATATAAGGATTAGGCGTATTAGCTTAAATAATCTTATTGGAAAAAAAAACCCAACAGAGGATAGTGGGGCAAGCTAATCAAATTGAGACAAAATATTCCTAATGTCATTTGTGCTCATTTGGATACAAATTTTAGTGACTCCCATATGCATTAGATCATGCAATAATCTTTATCTAATCTAATATGAACGTGTCATTCTATCATATGATAGTTAATGCGTTGCTTTTATATTAAATTAGGTGTTTAATCAAACCTAAACATCTTACAATTAAGGTTTTCTTATGTAGTGGTTGGTATGTAAGCAAAATTATTCCATCATTTTTATAATTCCTCCGTTCATATTTGTTGTCCATATTACTAAAAATAATTATTCTAGATTTAGAGCGCATTAAAAAAGTTTAAAAAGGTAAATTAGTAAAAAAAAAAACTATCTTCTTGTTTATGATTTCTTAAGAAACATATAAAATTAAAAAAAAAGACAAGTAACATAAAATAGAAAAAGTAATGACTAAATTTCGATGAATATCAAACTCTGAACGCAAAATTCTAAAGACACAATAAAATTTAACGACAAATTAACAATTAAAAATTGAATATTATTAAATTTAAATGTTGAATCTTTATAAGTTTATTTGAACTCCATAACATCAACTTTTAAGTTTTCATAAGTGAATTAAAACTTTTACTTGTTAAGTATAAATAATATAACATAAATTAATAACAGATTCAAACTTCAGCTAACTTACATATAGGACGGAGCCAACTTGAGGCCAAGATGTTCGTTTGAATTTTATTCGGCGGAATAATATATTATGTATACATGATTATAATTATTTATATATATATATAGTAAAGACACTAAACAACTCGGGTTAGTTTGTGTGTTTACTTTTTCATATTTTAAATATTTTTAATGAAAATCTTGATTTAATCATTACTCAAATATTAGGGTGGAGTAAAAATATGAAAGGGAGTTTATCTAAACCCTCTTCATTTTTGAAATTTTAGCGTATACATCAAATGATGAACTTTTTTAATGAAAATTCTGTGTAGAATTTATATACAAATGATGAACTTTTTTAATGAAAATTCTGTGTAAATCGCCGACGAAACATACATAGGATTATGAGAAATGCCCTCCACCCCAATGCATGAAGACCACAAGTAGCTATACCCACTAACTCACCTACTCTTCAAATTCCTTTTCATGTGTATAGCTAGGCAATATTATTAGTGGGAGTGGTGGCAATTTGCAATAGAGGTTTTTTACACTACTTTTTCTTGAAATATAAGCTTTGAATGACAAATGTATCTTCTAGCCTTTTGTTTTGGTTTTAGTGCTCTTCCATTCCATGTATATCACGCTTGCCTTTTGACTTTGCAACTCAATCATATCACCACAAAAATTCTATTCAAAATCCTATTTCTATTGTTTTTTTGTATTCCTCTCGTTTGTCGTAAGGGATAAAAATAAATAATTCTGGTATAAAAAAATAGTTTAGGGATAAAATGTTTGGTATTTTATTTGGTTGATATAATTTGGATAATTTATCTTATTATTTATACCATACTGATGAGATAGTTATTCCATATACATTATATGAATTAGCTTATCTTAGAATAGTTAATTATGAGATAATTTATTCCTAACCAAATGATCTTAAGTTTTTTGCTCTTTTTGGCTTTATTAATGTTGTGAAAGCAAGTTAGTTGTGAGTATATAGTTAAAATATTATCAATCAATGCTTATTATGTAAAAGATTATGAGTAAGTTATTTTGATGATTTATTTTTATATCAATCATGTGTAGAACTTAAATTTTATTATTTTCTATGTTTTAATTTATATGAATTTATTTGAATTTTGAAGTATGAAAGTCAAACAATTTGATTTTCGATAAGTATTTGAGAAATTATTGCATTCTCCATCTCAAATCATCAATCATCCTTTTTTTAAAAAAAATATTCTGTCTAAACTCAAGACAAAATTCTTAAATTTTTTCATTTTACTCCCAGTAGTAATTACTTTTGAAGACCATTAAAGACTTAAATTACAGGGAGATGACATATATATATATATATATATATATATATATATATAACGAGGAGAGATTTTATATCTTAAGACACAAATAAAGGTAAATAGTTAAAAATCTCTTGATTAATATTTTCTTAAGAACGTGAAAGCTCAGAGAAACATGATAACTAATTTGAAACTACATCGATCAACTTCAATTCAAAACTCTAAAATTTTTCAAACTAGTGAATCCTGATTTCAGATGAAAAGTTTTGAAGTTCTAATTTAAAAAATTTAAAATTTCAAGTAAATTTCAAATTTGGTGGTTAGACTTTAAATACGTTATAAAACTGGCTATTTTTCTAAATAATAATTTGTCTAAAAGTGACAACATGTACAAATGACTGTATAATTAAGACTTTACTAAAGGTTGGGCCACATTAACTATGTATAACAGGTTAGATTTTCCAAAAAAATTGGCCCATTTGATTAATTATCTCGAAGAATAAATGTTGACACCAAGAAAATAAATTTATGTGGGATATATATCCTTAATCCTTCTGTTAATTAATTTATTAATATCGTTAAAGTACAATATAAAGATACCATACATTAAGTGTGTGTATATATATATATATATATATTACAAATATGTGTATATCTCTGATAAAATCTAGATATAAATCACGAATTTTGTCAATTACTATTCTACATATATAACGTGTATTCAAATTACAATTTTAATATATTCTCTATAAATTAAATGACTGAATGGTTCAAAATCGTACTTATCCCTTTTCTATACTCATTATAGCACTTGATAACTCTAATCTCTCTCGCTATTTCTTTCCCTTTAAAAGTAGACTTCATCTTCCTCGATTTATAATATTTTTTTTATAATGTGTGGTGAATTATTGATTGATGTTAGTAGTTAATGAAGATAACAAATAAAACGTGTAATGGTTAATGATGACATGGTAACAATGCTATTGTGATGATCGAGTCAGTTGGTAATAAAGATTGATTACAATGGTAAGTGAACCTTGTAGCTATTAGTATGACATATGTAACGATAATGGTAACTGGTAACACATAACAATGAAATATAATTTTAATGATAGAAATGATAGGTTTAGTAGCGATTGACAGAAGTGATCGACAATAATGATGATTGTTAATGAAAATTAGTAATTAACAATATTCGTAATAATTATAATTATAGCGATTGAGATAATTAATAGTGAGGATCGATGATTATAGATTAAGTTACGATGAAAATTATTGATATTAAAACTTTATAATCCTTACTATCTATATGTCCCATCTCATTATGTATTACAATTACCTACCTATTATGACACTAAAAAAATCCATATTTATTTACCAAATATTGTAAACAAATACTTTAAAAATAAATTGATGATTATTTTTTAAAAAAAATACTTATGGAAATTATATTTGTTTTTATTAAAATTCATTTATTATTTTTTTAAATTTAATTTAAGACACCAAATAAAAGGGAAATCGAGACGTTCTCACAAGATCTCATTAGGACGAGTACACCGACGAACTTTTTAGCTATTTTCCGTTCAGTTGGTCACATTGTTCGCCGGAGATCGGACGAATTTCTGCCGTCCGATCTCAGTTCAGTTACAGATCCGAATCTCCATTTCTTGTAAGTTTCCTTTTCCTTGTTTAATTCAATCATTTCTTTGCAGATTTGTATCAAATTATGCTGAATTGTCACTGAAATCCATTTGATTTATACGTGAAAATTTGCTGTATTCCTTTAATTCTAACCAGTCTGATGATTTTTATCAACTGTATTGATGTGCAAATCAGCATTCTCGGTGTACTAGCATTTTTTTCTATGTATCGATGTAACTTTTGATGGGAAATGAGCGAAGTGAGAGATTAGTCAATTGTAGAGTTTACAGGATAACTGAGAAGCTTGT